TCCTTAATGGCCCATTAAAATGCCCAAGCCAGTCTATTCTACATAATAGTTTTCCCCCTTCAGGTCCAGGGTGATGGGATTAAGGCATGATAGTATTAGCCTTCCACAGAAACTCACCACATGGCACCTGGAAACTCAAAGGTGGACTCAAAACAAAGCCTAGAAATTGCCCCTGCATGGCCCCATGGGAGTCTGAGAACCAATCAGAATACATTTCTAACACAGGAACAGGAAACAGAGAGGTGGGGCCAAACAGAGAGCATAAAGCCAGGAACTTTCAGCCCTTCCTTCTCTTTCTTCTTCTTCACCCAACATTGAAGCATGTGATCAACTTTTCTGTTCAGGACTCACGCCATGTGGTTCTGTCCACCATTAAACCATATTTTCAAGCAGCTTCCATGTCTCCAGTGTCTTTTTCCCCACTTGGAGTTGAACACAGGAGGACATTTCTTCCAACATGATTGGATAAACTTTATTTCTATCTGTCTAAAATGTATATAATACTCTGAGCCACTCTTCCAGGGTGTGACTATTCCTTACATGCATTTGTTTGTATGTTTTGGATATATTTTGTCACCCAGCTTTTGCTATTGCCATAAATAAAAGCTGATACTTTTTGCAAGCCTTGTCTCGAGTCTCACTAAACTGCTGGAATCTTACAGAGGGTAAAGAAGAGCAGAGATGATTAGAGGCTCCAGGGTAAAACATAACCAACGGTTGCTGGAACCGGGTATGTCTACTCTTATGAAAAGAAGGACTAGAGGTAACATGATAGCAGTGTTCCAATTTCTCCAACACTGGAAGTTTTTAAGAAGAGATTGGACAACCATTTGTCTGAAGTGGTGTAGGGTCTCCTGCGTAAGGAAGGGGGTTCGACTAGAAGACATACAAGGTCTCTTCCAACTCTGTTATTCTAGATACATTTTCCTAGGTGGGCTTCCCCCCCCCCCCCGCCTTTTGCATGCTTTTTATATATGTACATATTGATTAAGTTCACCCAGCTCTTCTTTGTACAAATAAAAGCTGTTATTTTCCAAGCCTCTTTTGAGTCTCATTTTCGGCATTCCAGTGATTTAAATAGTTTTGTACCTTACAAAGAGAAAGCTATAATGAAAAATTATAATTCATTTTACACATCGTATATACCGGTATAAAGACAACTACGCAGAGAAGAAATATTTGGGAGATTGAATTCCGACCCAGCCACAGTAGGATGCAATGATTTCAATCGAACCTTCCCAAAAATGGCCAAATTCTTTTATTTCTATGTCTTTAACAAAGGGAGGGGGGAGGCTGCTAGGTGATGACAGTGAAAGCCCTTAAATGCATTGTATCCTACACCATATTATTTTATCCCCTGCGCACTGGGAAAGGGCGGGAAATAACGTAAACACTAACAAGAACACAACACCAGTGTTTCCGACTTTGAAACCCTTGAACTATCGCACGAACCCCCTCCTTCCAAAAAGCAGTTAACCCGCCTTTTCGCCCACGCGACAACTAAAGGACTTCGTTTCCGTCAGCACGAACACTCGATCAGCCAATGATATTTTAAAGAAGACGCTCGCGAGGTTTTCGTTTCTTCACCATGGCAACCTCAGTCCGGTAAATCGTGGCGTCTTCTTCTTTGTGGGCCACCGGTGGTTCGTCATGGTGAGCAACCGACACTTCTGCTGTTTTTCAACCGCCACTTCAATATTCGGTTATGCTCGAATAATTTGGGATTATTCGCACAAAATGTGGCGTTTCTCTCCCCCAACTCAAAATAGGCCTGATATTCCAAATTATCAGTTTAGATCTTTACATTAGAAATTAAAATAGTGTAAGACCCCTGTGACGCTAAAGAAAGGGCTACCAATTCTTGACTGCAAAAATCCGTACAACACTGATTTGGAAGCTTTTATTTACGCCGAATTCGCATTACACACATATCTCTCTGATACTGAATTTTGTCTTGCAGTATTTGATCATGAGCCCCCTTCCCCTCCCCTCTTGCTAATTTACTGTCAAATCACTTGCAGGATCATTCTTAGTATTGATTTATGCTGGACAGATCAGACAGAAATAGTTGTCCACCTTCAGTAGAGGTATCTTTGAATGAGTGAGCATGGGATTGTTGATATCAAATGAATCTGAGAATGTCGATGAATTTCTATTCTCTTATCCTCATTTTTCTTTTTGCATACTAAGAGTGTGTGAAGATTGTATAAATTCAGTTTTTATAGTATTGATTAACATGGCTACCAGGTTTGATTTTAAAATCTGGACAATGTAATTATATAATGGGCACAGTGACTTAAAATGGTGTATATACAATATTTTATTAAAGTGAAATCATCTGAATATATTTTCAGAAAATTTTCTATAAATCATTTAGTTATGGGAAAGCTTAAGTACACTTTAAATTAAGCATATATGTTCTTTAAATGTGATAGAAAGTCCTTTAAATATTATAGAAAATCTTTATTTCAGTATTTTATATTCTATATGCAGGCAGAGTTGGGTCTAAATGATCACCATCAGAATGAAGTAATCAACTACATGCGATTTGCACGCTCTAAACGTAGTCTGCGCCTTAAGACGGTAGACTCTTGTTTTCAAGACCTTAAGGAAAGCAGGTAATATGAGAATGGGAAAATTAACATAGAGGTGAATTTTAGCCATAATTTTAAACATACTGTCAAAAATGCATACTCTAATTAGATCATGATCATATTTACCAATATGAGAAATGTAACTATACTCCAACTATGCCTAAGATTTGGAAGCATTCTCATGTTCAGTTTAAATCTTTTTAATTTTATTTTCAACATTTATGCCAGATAACATATGGTACATATAAATAATGATACAAAATAAATAGTAATAGAAAATAAATAGTGATAAGATTCAAACACATTTAGCTGATATGCATTAGAGCAGTCTCACCAACCAGTGGTCTGTGAGAATATTTTTTTGGTCTGCAGAAAAATGATTTGCATTTTTTATATTGCCCTAAATACTATTTATCTTTTTTTTAAAAACATATTAGTGGTCCGCGGGATTTAAAATTATGAATTTAGTGGTCCCTGATGTCCGAAAGGTTGGTGACTCCTTCATTAGAGTCTACAAAACTGGGATTACATTCATTAAGGAAAACAGTCACATGGGCAGTAATGTGGACATCTACCTTAACGATGCTGCTCTCAGTGATTGGGATTCTAATCCCAATTGTGATTAAAAATTGAAGACTACTTATATATAGATTGATGTAATAAATCAATATAAAATAAATAAGTAAATTACAAATTTAGGAATGACATTCTTAATGTATAGGTTTCATCTTTGCTATTTATTGATAAAATGAGTAATTTCCTCTGAGACTATAAATTTATGCTGGTTTTTGCTAGTTTTGCTGAATAAATTTATGAATAAATCTGAATTACATTCATAACATATTACATCTTGGCTATATTTAGTGAAATGGAATGCCTACATAATCTTTTCAAAAATGATTTTGGAATAGTTAGCATAGTTTTTAAAAAAATTCTATTTCTGGATTCTTCTCTTTAGGCTTGTGGAAGATACATTCACTGTTGATGAAGTGACTGATATCCTGGATGGTTTACAGACTGTAGTGCATAGTGAGGTGGAATCAGAACTTATTAATGCAACTTACACCAATGTATTACTTTTACGACAATTTTTTTCCCAGGCAGAAAAATGGTGTCTTAAATTACAGACTGATATTTCAGAACTGGAAAATAGGTGAGGATTTAAAGATAACTTAAAAGGATAGGTTTTAAATATTTCTATTAATACATATAATTTCTTTATTTATAATGAATTGACTCACTACATTGGTATAATAAGAACACCTGAAGGGTCAATTTAACTGATTTATTGCTGAAAGCCTATGTACAGCAATCTTCTCATGTAATAATCAGTTTGTCTAGAGTCAGATAAGGCTCAGTTGTAGTCCTGAGGGGGAGGGGTTGGATATACTTTGTTTGAATCTACATAATGATTATAGTCTGATCCCCCTTTTCACCCATCTCCCTGGCTCTGCCAGTCCTTCTCTTATGTCTAATTAGCATCTGAGATCAACCAAGGTTAGCTGAGACATTCTGCCATCTACTGAATGTAATTTAATGTTCAATAGACTTAACTAACATGTTTATTGCTTTTTTCAAGGGATTTATTAGAACAAGTTGCTGAGTTTGAAAAATCAGAATTTACATCTTCAAATAAGAAGGTATGACTTTATTTTTAAAAGAGTGATCAAATGGAAGAATAGCTGTGGCTTTATATTGCTGTCATGGGTAATGTACAGGTCCTGAGGATTTTATAGAAATTTAGTATAAGACATTATTCTAATTTTTTGTCCTCAGGTTTTTTTTACTGCCTTGATTAGTTTGGTATCTGGTTCTCTGGTTAATACATCATTTTATTTTCTTCTGTTAACTTCTGCACAATGGTTCCACCACAAATGTGTGCACAACAAAAGCGCGCCTGACTAAACCGCAGTGTCTAAAGCGCGGTGACAAAACCGTGCGATGAATGAGCGATGAATTAGCCCTAAAGCGCGCCGACAGAAGCACGCTGTAACGTAACCCTAAACCTAACCCTAAACCTAACCGTAAATCTTACCTTAAATTAAATCGCGTTTCTGTCGGCGCACTGTTGTCGGTGCGCTTTTGACATTGCGGTTTTAGCGCTGCGGTGTTGTCGGCGCGCTTATGACGTTCGTGCTTTTGTCGGGTCACGCTGCACAATAACCTACCCCTTCCCCCATGTCTTCAGCATTGGTTAGTTAGTGTCCCTTGACAGGCTTATTAATAGTAAATAGATGTCTACTTCAGTTCAGTTCAGTTCAGTTTATTAAATTTATATGCCGCCCTTTTCCCCCGAAGGGGACTCAGGGCGGCTCACAACTCGAACCGGGGAGGGGGATACAGACAAAAGATTTAAAACAACAGTATAACAATATATAATTTAAAACTCACAACAGTCATACCATTCGAGACGGGGGCAACAGCTCTTTAGCCCCAGGCCTGTCGGAACAACCAGGTTTTGAGGGCTTTGCAGAAGGCCTGGAGGGTGGTGAGGGTTCGAATCTCCACGGGGAGTTCGTTCCAAAGGGTCGGAGCAGCCACAGAGAAAGCTCTCCTCTGGGTAGTCGCCAGTCGACACTGGCCAGCGGATGGGATTCGGAGGAGGCCTAATCTGTGGGATCTAATCGGTCTAGTGGAGGTAATTGGTAGCAGGCGGTCTCTCAAGTACCCAGGTCCAATACCATGAAGGGCTTTATAAGTGACGACTAGCGCCTTGAAGCGTATCCGGAGACCAATAGGCAGCCAGTGCAGCTTGCGGAGGATAGGTGTTACGTGGGTGAACCGAGGTACACCCATAATCGCTCGCGCGGCTGCATTCTGGACAAGCTGAAGTCTCCGAATACTCTTCAAGGGCTGCCCCATGTAGAGCACATTGCAGTAGTCCAGTCTAGAGGTCACAAGGGCACGAGTGACTGTTGTGAGGACCTCCCAGTTCAGGTAGGGACGCAACTGGTGCACCAGGCGAACCTGGGCAAATGCCCCCCTGGTCACAGCCGACAAGTGGTGTTCAAAAGTCAGCTGTGGGTCCAGGAGGACTCCCAAATTGCGAACCCTGTCTGAGGGGCGTACTGTTTGACCCCCCCAGCCTGAGAGATGGAACACTTGGCCAATTAGTAGGAGGGAAACACACCAGCCACTCGGTCTTATCTGGATTGAGTACTTTCTTTAGCAGTAAATGTAGCGCAGATAGCACAAATCAATACAAAGTATTTTGGGCGCTCACTATTTTCAAGTCTGAATATGTGACCAGTCAGAAGGAGGAAGTGGCTGAATTTGGTTTGTCAATTGCAATTTAAGGACAAATAGTACAGAAAGTTATTTTTGTAAGTCAGAGATTCTCTTTGAGGGCACAGCTGGCATTAGGGTTGGAAAATGTTGGAGCCAATATTAAAGGGAAGATTTTACCAGTTTTACCAGCTGGATAGGTCCAATTTACCAAGATTTAAATAAGGCCAACCTGAGGCCAATCTTCTATAATTTAGAAATTCCTATATAGGTAGGTGTTTATGTTAAATAGCTGCAATACAGGAAAAGTGTATGGTAAATACACACTTATTTCTTCATAAATATACACAATGTATCTTCTATGGGCAAGTGATTGCCCATTTCAAGAATCCTTCCAATGTTATCAAAAGTTGTTATAAAGTAGTTTTTGCTTACTAGGTTCATATCCAAAGATACATACATAATTGTTTAAAAAATTTAAATAGTATATAGAATCAAAGAAAACACTTGGAAGATATAAAGCAGCTTTTCGAATCTCTTTAATTGCAAAACAACATTTGTTTTCTGTTTTTATCTTTGGTGTTATTTCATTTACAGAATATGTGTGTGATCTTGTCTGATTGAAAATGCTAACTAGAAATGATTTTTCCTATCAGAATAAGAGAAGGATGAACAATAATTTCTATATATTAATTTTAGAATATACCTTAAAATTAGTTTGATTTGGGAGATCCTACTTCTGAATAAAAATATATTATGTTAGAGATACTTGATTTGTATTTTTTTTCTTTTTAGCTGAATCCAGAGTTGGTTAAAACTAAACTTACTCCATTGCATGAGGGAGCATCAGAATTGCTAAACAAGGTGACCATTCATGTAATAATTGTTTCACTTCACTCCATCAGTGTAACTAGTTATTAATTAAACTAAATGTATTCCTTATTATTCAAGCTATATTTAGAAGTTTAAATAATCTATTGTAATAACTTTAAATTGCTAATGATTTACTAGTAAAAACAAATTCTCTGTATTTTAGCATACATAGCTGAAAAAAGAAAAATCCACAAATGATTTGGAAACACTTGAAAAAAGAAAAATAACAAATAATTTGGAAATATTGTATTTTTTCTTTGTATTCAAGTAGACTAAATGTTCAAAAAATATTTAAAAGAGATCATAATTTTTTTGAATGCACAGTAGTACTCTGGAGCTTGAGTAAAATGGAACCAAATTTTGTTCTGGAGAGAAGCTTCAAAAGAAAGATTATATTTCAAAATATGAGCTTGATAAGGCTGGTGTCTGAGATGCTACCAATTGCTTCTGTCAATGTAGTGCATTCATTGGGAGAACTTTAGAAAATGTAACATTCCCTAAAAGTTCTCCAAGTGCATCACATTGGGAGAAGTAGTTGGCAGCATCTCAGAATGTTGACTGTTTATTATTTATTACTTCCTGGTCAGTGATCCAGAGCATATATAGCCTGCCCCATGCTTTCCAGTATACATGTACAGGCAGTTAAAAAACACAGTTGGGACCGAAAACTCAGTTATTGAGGAAAGTAGTAGTTAAACACAACACCCATGTAACTGTATTGCTGTTTTTTCAGTTACTGAATGAAGAAACATACTGCTTCCCTGATTTTGGGTTTTATTGATTAGATAGATTTGTTATAGAAGAAATGGCTAGTTTATACTATTATGTAAAAGTAAAAAAATGAGGTTTGATGTTATTATCTTATTCTACTGCACCAAAGGGAATCAGAAATCAATGCCTTTTCTTTCTTTTCCTCTTCTTTTCTACACTTTTCCCTTCGCTTTTCTCTCCCCTATTTTTCCTATTAGTTGCTTTTATATTTTTGTATTTGATATTATAAACTAATAAAAAGGACAACTCGAAAAGGATTTTGGCTCCACTTCTGCACTCAGCAGAGGAATTTAATTCCCCTTTGTGCATAGAAGGAAATCCCTTTGGCAGGATGCAGGATCATCATCATCTTCAAGATTTCTGTTTTTGCATCCTGCCAAAGCAGTTCAGCTTCCTTTGGGAAGCAGCTCTTTCAACCAGTCCGTAGAGACAAGAGGAGATTTCTCAACAGATGTCAGCAGCTTACAACCTTCCCTGCCAGCTTCTCTGTTGATTTGTTAATTCATTTGTTTCACAATCCTTGTTTATTCATAGGTGTTTCAAGATATTTAACTTCCTTTATATACATATACACAGATTATATATATATATTCATTATTGATTAAGATTCACAAGAATAAATGTTATTATTTCCAGCTAATGATTTTTATGTTGCTTTTTGTAGTACGTTACTAATTGGATTATAGAATGTTAGGTCTAAATCTTGGATGTTTGATGAGAATATATATAACGAGTGTACCCTAAGAACGGTAATCCGAACAACCTGTCATTTTATGTTAATATAACAATATGAAGCCTAAGCATAACCAGTGGTTAGATTTTTTTAACTTAGTTTACTGTGTCAGGAATTTAGCAGAAGAAATAGTCAAATATTGTATGTAGGAAAAATTCAGATTGTCAATAGAAATAGAAAAATATAGGAATAGATGTACATAAAACAATTGAAATTAATCCATTCCTCCTCCCAAATTACAAAAGGACTATTTACCAATATCATTAGTTTATTATCCTTAGTTTATTCCCACTATTTCCTTCACTTTGTAGTCCATCAGCAGCAACATAATCAAACAGGAAACATTAACTGAAAAGAGGCGTTAGTTCTGGCCAGATGAAATGGTTTGTATTGCTAAAATAAAATGTGTCAAAGCCTAATAATCTCATATTGGGGTTTATGTATTTTACGAAGGCAAATATATTTTAATTAATTTAATTTATAACTTCAGTTATTTCTACAGCAATTAATGTATATGAGTTTGAGCAATGTGCAAGGATAAAAAAATAAATTTAAATATTAATTAAAGCCTACTTTGTTGGGGGAAATTCACACTAAATAAACAGACAATCTCTATGTACTGGTGCTGTATATAAGCATTACCTTTTTCAAACTGATAAATGATTCTATAAAACATTTAAATATTTCTACAGTTTGTTTGATAATTTGCCCGCAGGAAATTACAAGGCTTCATGAAGAAAATGAAAAACTGAAAACTCGATTAAAGACAATAGAGCTACAGGTAAAATCCTTAGATAAATTGAGTATAATTTTGACTTACCAAACATTCATTTAGTGCAACTGAGATACAATGGACATTTCTCTCTAGATATTCCACAAAATAATGGAAAAATCAGTTTCACCTGAAGATACTTACATTTATGGTAAATTAGATTATATTAAGTAATTTGAATCAATTTACTTAACTTGTCTAATGATTTCATTTCACAAATAATGCAGATTGCTACAAAAATGACACAATTTGTAAAATATGCAAAAGACATGAGATGCACCGTGTTTCCCCAAAAATCAGACCAGATTTTATTTTCTTTTGACCTCCAAAAAACCGGCTAAAGCTTCTTTTTGGGGGGGGGGTTGTCTTATTTCCCCCCAATGTATCAGTATGAGGCAGGCCCCTCGTGCCAGCTTCGTGAAGGGTTACAGGCCATCTCGCCATTCACGAATCAGCTGATTTGCTTGTGCTACCTCCAGCAAGCATGGTTACTTTTGTAGCCAATTGCAGCTGCAAAAGACACTAGAGGCCAAGCGACACATCCTACATGCCTCATGCCTACCTTATGTAATGGTGATAGTTACAGCAGGCAATTCCGTCCACAGAACAGTTGCCTTGTGGGTGCCGCTTCTGCCGTTGCCTCCTGCAAGCACAGCACTTTTTGCCATCGATTGTGACCACAAAAGCAGCAAGAGGCCAAGCAACATGCCCCACACACCTCGCACTGGCCTTCTGAAAGGTACTGTAGCAGCAGCTGTCCACAATATTTTAACCGTTATTTCGTCCTGAGCCAGGTGGCCCAGTACGATGTTAAAAGTCAACATTTCAGAAATGTAGCTGCGGAGGTCTCCTTGCCCTGCACAGACTCCCTCCATGGCTTCGGAGCCTCCAGTCTTGCAATCCTGTGCGGGAAGGCAGAGGTTTGACCAAAGCTGCGGTGGGAAAGCGATGCACAAGGAGATTCCGTAGCTACAGTAACATTTCTGAAATGTTGGGCCATACTGGGCCATGTGAGTCAGGACAAAATAACGGTAAAAAAAATAGTGCATAGCTGCTGTTATAAGTACTCTTTAGAAGGTTCAGTGTGAAGTGTGTGGGGCGCGTTGCTTAGCCTCCTGTTGCTTTTGTGGCTGCAATCAATGGCAAAAGTAACCACGCTAACTGGAGGCAGTGGCCAGAGCAGCACCCATGAGGCAGCTGTTCCGTGGACAGAATTGCCCTGTTGTGACTGTCGCCGTTAGGTAAGAAGGGCATGAGGCATGTGGAGTGCATTGCGTGACCTCTAGCTTCTTTTGAGGCCGCAATTAGCTGCAAAAGCGGCCACATACTGGAGACAGCAGCCGCAGCGTCTCAGTTGATCCACGGGCCCCGATTAAGGGGCCGAGCAACTCAGGTGACCAGAGAAAGGAAGGGCTGCCTCCTGTGCTGCACACCCACCCACTTCAATAGGACTTAATTTTGGGGGTAGGGATTATATTAGGTCTACCCCCCAAAAAAATCAGACTAGGCCTTACTTTTTGAATAAGTCATATTTTGGGGAAAACAGTAGTTCTCAATGAATGACATATTTTCATATTTAAGTGTGTATCCAATATGATCTGTTAAATTGAGGCTTTACTGTAGATGGGTAGCAGTGGTAGGTTCTGGATCCCGTCGCAACTTGTACGCTGCGATGGGGCCAGACATCCACCTCGGGCATATATATGCAACTACCCTGCGATGCCCCAGCTGCTTGCTGAGGTTGCGCAGCTGCCATACGCTGTGCTCAATTGCCCGTTTCCCTCAAAAAGAGGTAAGAAATGTGAGCGGGCGGATGGCCCCACCAAAACACTGTTCTGGTACAGTGGCTGCTGCTCCCAGCTGCCTCCGGTACCCCCATACCGGGCTATATCGTGCATAACCCACCACTGATGGATAGATGGAAGAATATAATCAGAAGAAGAAAATAGTAAACCATTTCTGGAGTGGATGAATGTTTCTTTTTAAAATAAGTTTTGACCTGAATTTTAAAATCTTTTGCAGGCTACAAATGCACTAGATGAAAAATCAAAGTTAGAAAAGGCTTTACAGAACATTCAGATTGCTCAGGGGGATCAAAAGGTATAAATATTTTTAGACTATATCAAATAACTTTTGATAAAATTGTTTTGATAAAACTGTTTGGATAAAATTATTCCATGAAAATTAGCTGTGTTTCAAAATTTTATGGTGAATTTAACTCAGATATAATGCTTAACTCACTATAATGCTTTGCCGTATAGTCCAATTTTAAACCATAATATTAAAAATCTCCCTGTTCATCCTATTTTTTCTCAAATTCTGTGATATTCCTAATATACATAGCTATTCCATTTTGCATTAGCAAATTAACACTATCTTTTTAATACATGCCTCTCAAAGATACAATGTTGCATAAAGGTTTGTGAACCCCTTTGAATTTTCAATATATCTGCATAAATATTCTCTAAAATGTGATCTATTCTTCAAACAAATCCTAAATCTAAATAAAGAGAACCTAATTAAACAGATGAGTTAAAACATTATTTCAACTCAACTTTTTAACATTAATTTAATTCTTCATTTGTGAATAGGCTTTTGATTTCTGATAAATAAATATCAATTTCTCCACGGTCCCACTAATTTCCTTCAGGCTTGTTGAATCTTTGTTTGTTTGTTCCTGCTGCCTCATTTCTCAAAAGTAAAAGTTACGTTTAGAAATAGTTTATAAAGATCAGGAAGGGCTATTCAGTTGTTCAAAGAATCAATAAATATAAATATAAAATATGTGCAACATAATAAAAAATCAAAGACATTGTAGGCTTTAAAGCATCTCATTAAAGGCCATTATATTCTGTCATTACCAAACTTTGTACAATATTCAGCTCCTTGTGTAGGACCCCTTTCGTGATTTCAGTTGAGGAAAAATCAAAACGATCCAAGTAAACTAAAAATAGTTTCAAATATACTAGGATCAGTAGAATTGAAATAAATTCAACAAATGAAATAAAGTAGGATGAATCCACCATGAAATTCAAATAATTTTTCTGTAGAGTAATATTTTAAAATTATTGTTTTTTTTCCTAGAAGAACCTTCAGATTTCTGTATAGGCCTCATTTATTGCCATTTGATTACCCAGCCTGTTAGTTGGGTAATTCTTAAAGATGTACCTACAAGTTTTGTGTAGGAATAGAATCAAATGCAAATTTGAAATTAATAAAACTTTATATATTGTATATAAATCTATTATTTTAGAAATATTAATAACACTAATAAAATAGATTTTCATTTTGTGAATCATCCATACGTTCCATGTTACTTTATTTTAAAAAGTAAATTTGCCTAATACTGTTTGTAAATTCATTTTATGTGTTTTTCCATTTTCTCGATGCTGTCAATTTAAAATTTTCATTTAATATTATTTTATAAATGATAACAAATGCTATCCAATTGAATCCATTGAATTTTACAACTTCAGGTTTTCTACAGTATCTGTGGATTGGGTTTATTTCTATGAAATTCTGTGTAAGAATATAAGTAATCCTCTGCTTATGACCATATGTGGCCAGGAATCTCAGTCATTGAGTGAAGCGACTTCAGTCGCAGCTCCCTCAATTGTGGTTGTTAAATGAACAGCTGTGTGGATTGTTAAGCGGACTGCCAGGGAGAGCTCCTGAGCCTCCTAGGAATGGGCAGGAAGAGGACCCAGGCTTCTCATCATACCTTGAGCCTAACCCTTCTTCACCCTACCAGAGAAATCAATTCCTTGAACACTGATATTCACTAATGCTTTTGCCAGATTTTGGGCCCATTTCTACAGTGTGCCAAGGATTCCTACTCTGCAAGTATTTGTTGGAATATTTTCCTTCTAAACCTTTCTGAACCTTTCAGAGGGGAAATGGTGAATTCTGAAAGGTTCAGAATGCTGGCAATTTGTTGCATTTTCGTCAGATCTGAGGTCTGCTCCTTCAGTGTGCGGGATAATTTCTGCATGGAGGGGATGGGAAATCCCTTGGCATGCCAGGGAAACAAACATCAAATGTTAATATCTTCTCTGTCAGCTTTCCCGTTGACTTTATAGGGAAGGTGACAGAGAAGATTGCAGATAGTGATACATAATTGCAGGGCACTTGGCAACCTGAGAAATCCTTAATCATAAATGCAAAAGATTTCCAAGCATCCAAAAGGTGGTCAAATAACACAAGCAGGTGGGTTGGTGCAACCTTTGAGTTTGGCTGTAAATGCTTTATGGCCCATAAAGCATCCATTCTGAAGATTACCTTTATCTGTCAATATTCTAACAAAGGAATATATTGCATGTATTTTTATATCTAAGAACTGAAGTTTTTTTAAAAGGGACATGTGGATATATATGTATATGTGGATGCATATATACTGTGTGCGTGTGTGTTTGTGGTAAAGGTTCCCTTTGCACATATGCGTTAGTGGTTCCCGACACTAGGGGACGGTTCTCATCTCCGTTTCAAAGCCAAAGAGCCAGCGCTGTCTGAAGACGTCTCCGTGGTCATGTGGTCGGCATGACTAAATAGCAAGACACACGGAATGCTGTTATCTTCCCACCAAATCAAAGGTAGTCTCTATTTTTCTACCTGCATTTTTTACGTGCTTTCAAACTGGTAGGTTGGCAGAAGCTGGAACAAGTAATGGGAGCTCACTCCGTTTTGCGACGCTAGGGATTCAAACTGCCAAACTTTCTGATTGCCAAGTTCGGCATCTTAGCCACTGCCACCGCGTTAAATAAATATTTGGCTAAATATTTATTTTCTCAATAATCATATATCCTTTTTTTCCAGTTTAACAGTACTCAGGATGTTAGCGAACTAGAAAATACTATGGCTAATTTGAAGTGTCAGTTTGAGAGAACACTTCAAGACAGTACTGCAAGCCAAAAATCCTTGGAAGAGAATCTGGTGTCAACAAAACATGACTTACTTAAGGTTCAAGACCAGTTAGTACTGGCTGAAAAGGTTAGTTTCCCCAGCTGCATTTGTGGCCACTTTTTCCTTTTTTCAACTTTAATTATTATCTGTAATAGTAGCTAGATACCGTACTCTTGAAAAAATTATTTTAATCCCATGTTGATTTTAATAATAAAAAATAAGCTTCAACATATTATAAATATAAATAATTAAACACTATAAGTTTGATTAGGCTTTTTACATGAAATACTTTGCTAAACTAAACTTTTGTTGTACAAATACTCGATCATACTATTTTTCATGTATTTTTAGATACTGGCATTTGGAATGTTTGAATGCTAGTATAATACAAATATATCTTTAAAATGATACTTTAATGATTCAAAATGTATAGGAATTAGAAAAGAAGTTCCAACAAACTGCTGCTTATCGCAATATGAAGGAGATTCTCTCAAAAAAGAACGATCAAATAAAAGAGTTACGAAAGAAGCTTTCAAAGTAAGTGATTGTCCTTCACCTGTATTTTTATATGTTCTCTTTTTTTATTACCGTATATACTCGAGTATA